GAAAGAGTTATGTTGCCAACTGATTCTTCATTGCCGAAATACTTATGTGATAAAAACAACTTTCTCTTAGAAGATGAATAATAAGATATTTAATAAATGCAAACTTAATAAAGCCAGTCATCCTTGGAGTTAATGTACTATCTCTAATTAAAATGGATTTGAATTTAATGCAATTGAAATCAATATGCAAATCAACAATAATAATGTTACAATGAAGTTTAATTTGTGTCATCATGAAGGGCAAATATGTCAAATAGCATTTAATAATAATAGCCATAGACCAAATAATAGTATAAATAATATTTTTAATAAAATGATGTACGATGAGTATCATATTTATATAATATATATGAGTATGATAGCACAACACACAACTTCAGTGATCAACAAAGTAATCCACCGAAGGACAGCACATTGACATTTGAGAAGATTAGTGCACACTTTCCAGCTCGTCCTTCAGATATTGTTGGTGAGGGGACCAAATAATGTCACAATATTCCAGGTGGGGTCTCACAAGGGAAAGAAATAGCAGCTTTAGCGAGTAGATGCTATTGAAGGTTGACGAGATTCGGTGAATTAGGCCGAGGTTGCGCAAGGCTTTGTTGCAGACAGAGTGGACTTGGCGATCCCAGCTGAGGTTTGGGGTGAACAACACGCCAAGGTCCACAATCTCCGAGCATCTAGCAAGCTCTTTGCCATCAATTGTATAGTTCCTCCGGACGGGGTTGGATATACGATGAAAGGTGATATAATTGCATTTGCTGACATTTAAGGACATCTTGTTCCTAATGCACCACCTGGCTACAGAATCTAGACTAACTTGGAGAATGTCGAGGTCATCAATGGATGAAAATGTTTGGTAGAGCTTAAGATCATCAGCGAATAGTTGGAAGCTGCATTGAAGGTCTGTAGTGATATCATTTATAAACGAGATAAATAGTATGGGACCAAGCAAGGAACCTTGTGGAACTCCCGAGGTGGCATAAAAGTGATGAGAAAGTGAACCGTTGTACCTGACTTGTAGGACTCTGTCTTGCAAATAGCTTTCGATCCATCGAATAAAACAGCCGTCAAAGCTGAAGGTCCTTAACTTTTCCACTAAGAGCCTATGACTGACACAGTCGAAAGCCTTCGCAAAATCGAGTTGGATTGCATCGACTTGGTGAAGATTGGCAAACGCATCAAAGATATCTGATGCAAAGATCATCAGGTTTGTGGAAGAGGAGCGGCCAGTCAAGAAGCCGTGCTGATTGGGGGAGACGAATGGCGAGATTATGGACTTGAATCTAGACATAACGACTTTCTCGAAGATCTTTGAGATGACTGAGAGAATCGCTATTGGACGATAGTTCTTGACGTCATTTTTAGGTCCTTTTTTATGAACTGGAATTATATGACTTGGTTTAAGGATGTCGGGAAAAATACCATTTGACAGAGACAGATTGAAGAGATTGGTAAGTGGGTGTTCCAGTAGGCGGCGGCAGTGCTTTACAACAGCCGGCGGGATGGAATCGGGACCGCAACCTTTGTTTGCATCAATGTTAAAAATTGCTTGGCGGACTTCATGCACTTGGATTGGGTAGAACGAGTGGGACCCCAATAATTGGGACACAGGGGTGAAGCAGTCAGGTGGTACGTCATCCTTGCCGAACACTGAGGAGAAGTATGTAGCAAATAACTCGGCAGCTGACTGGTCACTATCGGAGGTAGTTCCATTTAGAGACATTGAGGTTGAGGTTGAGCTATTGAGGCTTTTTACATAGGACCAAAAAATCTTGGGGTTTTGTGGGAGGACATCTTCCACGTGGTTAATGTAATTTGTAAAACAGGCTGTGGACAAGGCCTTACATTGAGCTCTGGCGGCAGAAAAACTACAGTAGGAACAAAAAACCAATCATTTAATGTGACCCATAACTAGCTTTAAATATGATTCATACTATATGATTCATGAATTCCATTTCATATTCTTTCAAAATTTGTCTTTCATTACATATTATACAAATTTCTGAGGAGATAAATTGTAATATTTCATTTCATTCATTCATTAGTTAGTATTAAGTTTCTTAAATGAAAACTTAGATGGAACTTAAAATGGAACATACACCTTCGTTAATCACTCCTCAGAAAGGCTGGCCTAGTATTCATTTTCCTAATTTATATAATTTCATTAATCTGTTCAATTAATCATTAATAATATTCATTCCATAGCCTATATTTTTTTACAAAGCTCACAACTTAATTATTTATTAAATATGTAAGAGAATTGCAATACATCCAAATTTCTTATAATATCTTTTCAAAATTAGTCCTTAAGTAATCAAAATTCAAGAAGCAGGGAAACAGTGATCCATGTGGTCAACAATGAATTATGTGAACGAGAGTACGATGCCTTTATTTTCGGCCTTCAGTTTTCGCAGTCTTGTCCTTAAGCGAGTCCTTTGAGTCCTCATCAACTAGGTAGTGTGTTTACCGCACGTTGTAAGTTGCTAGAGACCGACCAAATATTTGTGTAGCTTCTTCGACTTCCATTCCTCCACTTTAGCATCTGTAGTTTGATATGCAGGAGTGGAGATGTTCACCAGTGTCCACTGTTCTTATTTGAGCAAATACAATGTTAAGAGAGAATAGCAACATCAATTACTAAACCCGAATCAAAACTCGTGGTGGTAACAACACCATTGAGGGATGTATATCCTCGCTTTTGCCACGTACCATATAGGCCTAATGGAATGTCACGACTTACCTAATCGAGATTCACTGCATGTTCTACAGCTTTCTTAATGGTTTCATTACACACATCTACCAAAAAAACTTCCAAGTTTTTCAACGTAAGCTACAAACGTAGTGGGAGGAGGTGGTAGATTCAAGATGTCGCATACGGTTTTTGCCGCTGCTTAACCTTTTCCTACGGAATCTAGTCCGTATACTAACCTATATAGAATCTTTTCTTTGTTGACTCTGTGGTCAGTTGCATTTTTCAGCAAATTTATCCTGTTAGGCGAGGTTGAAACCAACCTTGATATGGAAGCAACCGAACCCATTACATTTTTGATGATTGGTATGTCACACGTTTTAGTAATACATAAGTTAATGAGTGACTAAAATGTCTTATAAAACAATGAAACAATGAGTGTATAGAGCCAACGGTTGTTTTGATATTGGTGTCTGAACACCATTAAAAATCCTTCAATGCATGATATTTTTTCATGTCATTTTATTTATACTGACTACATAATTACACCACAGGAAGACATAGAAAAATATTTAAAAATAGTAGTTTACGCAACGATTGCGTTAAGTGAGTCTTTACGACACGAGTAGAAAATTTAAGGCACGAGCCTTGGCGAGTGCCTTAAAAACTTCTACGAGTGTCGTAAAGACTATTAACGCGAGTTGCGTACACTACTTTACCTACGACCGTTTTTTAATTACTATCAATCTGGATTTAATTACTAACAATCACTAATGATAACTTTTTAGAGAGGTTATGTTTTCGTGTATTGTCATTGCTACTGAAAGTGATGCAACGACTTGTTGTATAATCAGCTGATTTCCTGTAATTACGTGTTTGTTAAACTTCGTTAAATATTACATTGCTAGCAGCATTCTTACCATAAATAATATTGTATCAGGTACAATTCGGCAAATATTTCATTTATTTTTGGACTTCCACCAACTTAATTAAGAATACGCGAGTATCAACATGAACAAGTCGGATCAACAATTAAATTGGTCAACTGATCAGCTGATCAGCTGATTAGTTGACGTTCGAAGCATTACAATTTTAATTCTTTTCTCTCAATACTTGAACCTCATTGGTCCGTTACCTGTGTGGATATGAGAAAACTATGCGGATATGAAATGAAACTATGCGGATATGAAAGTAAACAGCTGTAAAGTGAAACTTTTCAATTCTAAGAACTGGACTGAAATGGCTACTTTAAAAAACGGTCGTAGGTAAAATATTTTTCGTCAAAACTAGTTTTAAATGAAATTTATGACCTGTTACATCTGAGCTACATCATGGTATAATAGTACATCAGGTGGCGGGTGTGTTGTATCTTTGTAGCATAGAACATGTTGTTGGTCTACTTTGTTCAATATCATACTGATACAATTAACAAAACAACTAAACATACTATTTCAAACAAGCAATCACATTTTTTTCCGAACGACAAAATAATATACTTACGTTGCCTAACAAATTACCGTACATTTAAAAAGGAGTCAAAGAAATAAAACAAATAAAATAATATTGAGTAATTTTAATTTATTCAAAAGAGATGTACAATATTTTCCATATTTTTATAAGTTGTTCATACAAACATAGTATTGCCTACTCAGCAATAATACCGGTACTGGTCTAGGTACTAACAATTCTCGCTGGACAAACTGATTCGTGGAAACGAGCGAAGCAGTTTTTGGTTGCATGTAAACTTAAGTTTAAATTTGCATCTATTCCGCTTTCCATCCCATATGAGCCAGTGGTCTGTTTTGTCCTTACAAACGGCTTGTGGTGGTCGAGCTATTGATGATTTCTTTACTGGCCTTGGCGATGGTGAAGACGAGGATAGACGTCTTCTCTTGGGATTTTCTTTTGCTCCTAACTGGCACAGCGTCTGGGCAAGATCAATCCGAAACTGCTTCTGTGTCATTTTTGCTGACTTTTCTGCAATGGAAGTATGAATCATCCAATCATTCACAATTGCTATATCCAGCAAATGATACAACATTCTAGACAACCTCTCTAAGTAAAATCACGTAGCCACAAACTTAAACTTAAACGGGCAACTATGTAAAAAAAGACAGCTGTTAAAAGATAACTTTATCTATCATGGTAAAAAATAATTACACCGTTCCAAAACTCTTCAAACATACTGTATATGAATTTGATCAGATGGGGTTTTTGTTTTCTGGGGACATTAAAACGAAAAAGTAAATCCGCCCCAGATCTAGGTACATATTACCATGAGACCTACGAAATAGCCCTATGCACCTTCATGGACATTGAAGGAGCTTTCGACAATGTAACATACGGAGCAATGGTCGGGGAGTTTGTGAGCGTGGACTCGAGCAATCTCTGTGTAGATGGACAGAGTCTATGCTTAACTCAAGACGCACCGTAGCCGACTTTCTTGGTAAAAAAATTGTGATCGCACCCACAAAAGGATGTCCACAGGGAGGTTTACTTTCACCCCTACTGTGGAACCTTGTGGTGGACGGTCTTTTAACTGAACTCACCAGCAAGTTCATCTTTGTCCAGGGCTATGCAGATGACATAGTCCTCATGGTACAAGGAAAATTCACAAACATTGTAGCTGACGTCATGAACGGCAACCTACAATGTGTTAAACAATGGTGTCTCAGAGAGGGACTCAACATTAATCCTTCTAAGACAGTCGTGGTTCCTTTCACCAGGTAAAATAACTTGGATTCTCTTTCCAGGCTGAAAATTGGCTCTCCTCACCTGGGAGTGTCGAGTACGGTCAAGTATTTAGGACTGACACTTGACTCCAAGCTGACGTGGAACAACCACCTGAATAACGCGCTGCATAAGGCCAAATGGGCGCTCATGACGTCCAGTAGGTTTGCAGGAACCACCTGGGGAATTAAACCCCACATAGCACTCTGGCTATACGAGGCTGTGGTCAGGCCTCAGATTACCTATGGTTCACTAGTCTGGTGGACAATGGTGAATCAGATAACTGTCATAGCCAAGCTAGAAAGCATGCAAAGGCTCGGCACGCTACAGGCCACTGGAGCCTTCAGGAGCAGTCCATCAGCTACTCTAGAAGTCGCTCTTGGGCTGCTACCACTGGACATCTTCATCAGATCTGAGGCCCTCAAGGCAGCTTACCGTATGAGGGTTTTAAATCTGTGGAGGGAACGCCTGTCAGGGGCAGGCCACTGCGCCATTGCTAAGACTTTGGCTGAGTGTGCTGTGCTTGACATGACCTCGGACTTCCTAAGCAAGGAAGCAGTTTTCACCAAACCCTTTAATGTTGAATTCCGCTCCAGAGATGAGTGGAAACATCAGGAATGGCATCTCCAAGATATGGAGAGCTTCGTCTGGTACACAGACGGCTCCCTAATCGATGGAAAATCTGGTTTTGGGGTTTACTGTCGATCACCTAGAACAGAACTATCAGGAAGTCTGGGACAATACTATACCATCTTCCAGGCAGAAATCTATGGCATCTTGGCTTGTGCCAATCTAGGACTAGCCAGACGGTACCAAGACAAAATGATAGTGATTTTATCTGATTGTCAGGCTGCTCTCAAAGCTCTTGACTCAAATGAAGTCACCACAAAACTGGTCTGGGAGTGTTTCAACACCCTCTGCAGACTTGCATCACAGAACTCTGTAACTCTCGGCTGGGTCCCAGGCCATGTAGGCATTGGCGGCAACGAGAGTGCAGACAAGCTGGCAAAAAAAGGTGCGAGCATGCCACTCTTTGGACCAGAGCCATTTTGTGGCATCAGCAAAGCGGCCGCTAAACATGTAATAAACACAAATGGTCCAGGGGACAACACCTTGAGCGTTGGCGTAATTATCCTGGACAATCACTTGGCAAAAAACTGCTCTCAGAACCTAGCACCCCCTTCACTCGCTGGCTGCTAAAGCTGGGGGGAGGGCAGGTCAAGCAGGTACTTGCTCTTATCACTGGACACGGCCATTTCAGGAAACATCTCCACACTCTAGGAATTGTCAATGACAAGCAGGAGTGTCGACTTTGTAACCAGTCCGATGAGACTGCAAAACACATCATTCTGGACTGCGATGGACTACGGGCTAGGAGAAGGGCTCTGTTTGGTCTAAAGCAGCCAGGTGATGAACCAGACGCTAACATTGGGCAAAAGCTCCTGCACCTAGTTAGGGACACAGGTATAGGCTTACTCAGTTAGTGGCAAGTGGGATGCACAATAAGCTTCGGTTGACGTGCTTGGACCTTGAGTCCACCCTCACACAATCAATCAATCAATCAATCAATCAACCATGAGACCTACGGTAATATGTTATTCCCTATGGTGGACATTTTCTAAACCAGAGTAAACATTACTTATGCTTAAAAATAGCTGATATACTTACAACTTTAGATGTGTTTGCAGTAGTGGAAGCCGGAGTATAGCAGAAACCAATCAGAATCGAGTATTTGATAAGCCACGCCCCTTTTAATGTATTGCATGTATTCAGGTGTATTTCCCCTATCCATAGAGACCGCCCCCGGGCCAATAGGAGGCCGCGTTTGGTTTTACTTCAATAAAAACTATTTACAATCATTAGTGCTTGAAAATCAACACGTTAGGGGATGACCCTATAGACCCCGTACATTTTAGGCTGTACAGTTTAGACGTATTTAGCCCACTTAAGTCTTTTGTATTTAGAATTTCAACGAATCGTGAAGGTAAAAATGTCACCCGCTTCTCTCCCTGTGCAGTGGTGATCTCTAGGAGAATAGCCGGCCGGTTGAATTTTGTTTGGACTTTACGTGCAGCGGTGATTTTGGCTGGATCTTGGATTTCTCTGAAGGCAATTTTTGGGATCTGTACTGCCACCTCACATGCGTTAAGCTTGGTTTGAAGATCCATCTGTAAGATACAGCGAAACTATAATTTATGGATAGGGTTTGTGGGTGTTGTGTAATATATGTAATTTCATTTGGTTGTTAACGTTTGTGTGTAATTGGTATGTAGTTTTTTTCAATGTGTGTTGGGAATCATGTTAGCCTAGTGGTTAGTGTCTTGAACTTTGGTGCGCGAGAGACGGGTTCAATTCCCCGCATATCCACTAAACATTTATTCTCATGATCACATGTGTGAAAAATATTAGCTTTGTGAATGGGCACTATTCTAAGGCGTTAAAACTAGATTAACAAGATAGTATAGTTAAAAAAAAATGCTCGTTTAATCAGGGTGAAGGGAAAAATAAATTAATTTCACTAAACACTAAGTGTAGAACATCATCTGAGCATTAACCGGGTAAAAACAAAATGCAAAAACTATTGACTTTGTGGTACAGGTTATGTGAACACTATTCCAACAGTATTTTTTGAGTTTAAACTAGATAAAAAAAGCAGAAGTCTAGTTAAGAATAAAAAATAAATTAAATAAATCGGTAAATACTAGGTGAAAAACGATTATTAAAGCTGACCATCAATAAGATAAACACTGTGTGTGTGTGTGTTTGCAAAATTTCTCAAGTGTAAAGATAATTTACTACTGTATAATAACTGCTAGACTGTACCTTGGTTTGAAGGAATAAGTGGTGTTGCTTGGTGGAGGGTAGATACAAGAGTGAGGTAGATGGGTAGATTGGCTCCAAAGGTGCTCTCCCCACTCCAGCACGCGCCAAAAGTAGCGGTGCAGCTGTGGGTCGAGGCTCGTGCCAGAGGAGCTGAGGGGAAGGGACGGTTTTCGCGCGCAAACACACACAATTATGAACACATTATGAATGTACCTATTTAAACGTATTTTTGTATAGCTATATTGTGCATGTTTTATAATTGAAAAAAAAGAAAGAATTATTATTGATTGTTAAAAGTGAAAAAAGTGACTTACCTAATATTGAAGAAAGGAACAATAGACATTATGATGATTTAGGCTGCCAGACAGCTATTCTGTACTAAACATAATGTATTTTTTCCCGCACGAACCCTGCGTGGTTCATGGGAGTATTTGTATCTACATCTTATGCAGAAAATAAAGATTTTTGAACTGTGAACACACACACACACACACACACACACACACACACACACACACACACACACACACACACACACACAGGCACACACACACACACACACACAGGCACACACACACACACACAGACATCACTTCGAAAACCAATTTTTTGGCTCTAGGGGGACCCAAAACGGATATAAGTATCCACTCAAATCTCAAACTCGAAAATTTTGACGAAAACAATACTTTCTTCATATCTCCATATGGTATAGGGGGGGGAGGGGAGAGAAAGTAAAAACCTGTGGTACTCTATTAAGGAAATAATAATATTTATTTGATAAGAAAGCATTTTAACCACTATAAACAATTTGTGAAATATACTTGATTTCACGAAAGTTTTAACTTAAATGAATGTTTAAATAACTAATACTTACAATGTTACAGAATTAGACTAAGATGTAAGGTGTATAAGTGGTGTATTTTTGTAAAGAGTTTAGAGTTAAACAAAGATGTAATTAGGTCTATAAAGAGACTAAACAATAACACTGTTCATAAAACGAATAAATGTATCAAATTTGGTGACAGAGATTACCTAAAACTAACACAAAACTATATACTGTTATATAAAACAAGGTTTACACAATGCAACACCATTGATTACAGCAGTACGGTTAATATTTTAAAAATGCAAGTTTTTAAAATTATTAAATTAAATTAATCAAGATCTTCATGATTTAGAGAACAATACAATGTAAAAAATATCTTTTTAATTTTAAAATAGTTGCTATAAAATTATCTATTTTATGAAAAATTTGCATGTAAAATACCAATCTTTTTTAAATAGTTTATCTTACCTTGCTAGATTTGAAAATGAACTTTTGTTGGACTGTAAGGGTAACTCACGTAAAGGGAAACTGACCGATGTAAGGTCAAAATACAGTATAGTAAGCACTATTAAAAATAACGCTGAATTACCTGAATACTCCAGGAAACGTTGAACAAGCATAAACGCTAAATTGCACTTCTCAAACTACACTAACTCAAACGCGCTTAATTGAATGTAAGTTTTTAACTGATTAAAAATAGAGCATATCCGATTACTAGAACTCTTACAGTAAGAATGTCCCTCAGGGATTGCCCACGACAATACTAAACTGTCACCAAGTCTTGTTTGGCTGCTTCAGTGAAGGGGGGGGGGGTGGCTCTCAGTGTTGCCACCATGAGCAAACATCATTTCCAGCCAGTGAGAAAATATAACCTTGCTACAGAGGAAAAAATGTAGTTACAAATTTGTGATTGACAAACTTTTTTGTGGATTCACTTCAAAATATTTCTATATTCAAAAATATAACAAATTATTCTACTCAAATAAACTAAAAATCACTGTTTGCACACTCTAGTGTAAAAATCATATTTGATTTTACAAAATCATTTTTTTAACTCACACAAGACATTTTTACACACTAATCTGTTGGACTTTCCACAGATAGATTTACTTTGGAAAATAGCTGTTAATCAAATGGGATTCCTGAAGACTATATGGTATTGAATTTTGTCGGACACCAGCTGATTATAATATAATTTATAGCTATTGAAACACTCATATTTTATAATCCTATATATAATACGAGTAAAGTTTGAATAATTGTTACTTCGATCTGGGAATCGGCCCTAACAAAAACGTTAATATTTACGGAATAACTAAGTTCTGTGTCAAAAATAAGTTCTAGACCAGTGGTATAGCCAGGAAAAATCTATTTTCGCCATAATATGAGTACAGACTATTGAAAATTTAACATGGGCCTTATGAGAAAACATTCCGCCATTATTGTCATTTGTTTACATTTTAAGACATAACTCGACGTTCAGTACCCTCGGGCACCTCAGCTTGCGCATGCGCAGAAAGCTCTTGAAGCACTTTCCACTTTCCGAGGTAACTGTTGTACTTCTGGTATTAGCTTCTGACATACAATTTTGTCAACTTAAGACAGAAAGAAAGAGGGCGACTAGACTTTGCTCCAGTTCATCGTGTGATGTATAAGAATTTGTATTACATTAGAAAACTTTCCAGAGTAATGAGTTTCTAATCCATTAAAAAACTATTCTTACATTATACTCAGCTTTATTGCTGTTTCTTTAATACTTTTGCCAATAAAAACGAGCGATATATTTGATTTGTATTGTTTTTAATACTTTTGATAATTACATGCCTAGCGTATTAAATATATAGATTATCATCACTAAATTACTCTTTTCGTTGGTTGTCGAGTCGTGACGTTGTCAATAATGTCGTCTGATTCTGACTGATGTCAGATGTTACACTGATTCGGTCACAGGGATAATAATTAATTGTAACCTACAACTAGCTTACCTAACGAAGTTTGAGTGTTGCTATTAGCAGTGTGGGATGATTGCACTGGACAGTTTAGCTATCTATTTCAGAAAAATAAAGTTTAAAATAAACAACAGGGTTATGTATTTTAAACCCTAGGATCTGTTCTCAAGTTTTGGCCGTTTTGAGATGGATGCTTTCAGAACTTAAGAAGGTTTTATAAGCAGACATAATTAATCTACGTACTTGCTCACACTTCATAGACTATGTGTCAAAAGTAAATCTCATAAGAAATTTAGTGGTGATATAAAAGAGTTAGATTTATTTATATTTCAACATTAACCAGATCAAAGTATATCACAATCACAATAATTATTTGATCACATATGCATGTCATCATTTGCTTCGGTGAGGCCCAATTGTTATTGAGAGACTTTGCATCATTTAAGAATATATATTTTGTTTATATTATAGTATGTTTCTTTGTCATACTGTGATTAACGTGTTTGGAAAACATATTATGTTGCTAAATAAAATGAGTGTATAATATGTAATGCCAAATGTATTCATTATTCTCACTGAAGTAAAATAATAACAAAATATTTTCTTAGGTACTCCGACTAATTGTGCAAATTTGTTTCAAACTCCGAACAAACACTTATAGAGATGCTCGGAAGCAAAGAAATTGCAGTTTTATATGGGGACAGAAGTGCCGATTCCCTTACTTCATTGCGCTGTAAACTCATTGTTTCTGCTAGATCATTTGATACTCCAAAACAACTTCCTCCAACCGAGTCATCAATAAAATACCATTGCCTAAGAGTGTATTTCAAAATCATGTATTGGATTGGAATGGATACAAACATGAATGCTATTAATTGGGGATAGA